GCTCCTCGAGGGCGGGGTTTGTGGTGTGTGGCCCCGCCTCCCTCGCCCACGTTCCCCGCTCACGAGACGCGCGCCGCCGCCGCCCACGAGTTCCCCCGGCTGCGCGCGCCTCCGCGCTCCCGCCCTCGACGGCTGCCATGGCAACGGCGCTCGGCTCCGCCTCCGGAGGGGGTTTGTTTGCACCATCTGCAGCTGTTGCTCCAGCCTGGCGCGGTGGCGCGGGCCCTGGCCGCCCGCCCCGGCCCTACTGCAGCTTAGCCGGCGGACCGGGGCTCCCGACATCCGCCCTTCCGTGCTCGCTTTGGGCTTAAACAAATGAGAACGCTTACAGCTTCCTAAGCACTTCGATTATTTGCATCGGAGCTGGGCATGGCAAAATCTGACGATTCCAATGTGTCCTAGAATTGTGTGGACGACATCTTTAATTTTCTTTTTAGGATTTCATTAAATGCAGGGAAACACTAAGAATTGCCTCAGATTTGTTTTTATTTTGTGCAGGCTGAAGGGGATGCTAAAGGAGATAAAGCCAAGGTGAAGGACGAAGTAAGTCTTAATTTATTATTTTTTCAAAGATTATACGAAGCTTTGGACTAGTAAAGACCATAGGGCTCCTTTGGTGGCAGTTAGGTATGACCCGTGTCCTGAATTTACCTGAATTAGCTCTCTTCCTATAGTTGAGAGCAGACTGACATCAAAACTTGTTTTTGAAGGGATTCATCTGTCTTATTTTAAACTTTTTCATTTTCTTCATTAGCCCCAGAGAAGATCTGCAAGGTTGTCTGCTGTAAGTATACATGCTTTTAAATTTTTGTATTTATCCCTGAAACTAAAAAACTTTGAAAAACAATCTCCTTTGTTTCCCATGAATTATGGTTAGTAGCGGGTTATGAATGATCCACTTTACTTTGGACTCTTGCCCCTTTGGGGTTTACTGGTTCAAAATTCTGATGCTTGTAGCCAAAGTGGGACACTGGGATGTTTCAGTGTTACTTGGGTGGGCTTCTGAAGATTCTGATGTTTTGTTTTTTTTTTGAGTTGGAGTCTCACTCTGTCAGTCACCCAGACTGGAGTGCAGTGGTCGCTCCCCACCACCACAGCCTCCAACTGCTGGGCTCCGGCGATCCT